ATTGCAGAAATTTTCTAGAAATACATATGTGTGTGTATATATACATGTAAATACATATATATATATATATATTTCTGGCATGCCCTTTTTTCCAGAGCATCATCGTAAGGAACTTGCATTAGCAGGCAGCATCTTCTTAATGTCTGACCTATCCCTCCAGTCATATAGCTCAGAATCTGGTGCCATGAATTTTTGCTAAATTATGCTATCCTTGCTCTCCTCTTAATTTTACGGTTTTCAACACAGATTTGCTTTCCTGTGGGAAGGAGATAAGAAGCTGAGGATTTTAATTTAAGCCCTGGCCTTGTCTTATATTTTGCAAGATGGATAGTGAGAGCAGTACCGGTAGGTATGTTAAAGCCAACAAAGATGATGTCCATTTTTGTGGCCAAATAGTAAAAGTAATACGCAGTCTCGATAATGTGTGAGCAGAATCCCAAAGGGTTATACTTTGCCTCCCACCAACCGTCTCCACCACATATATAAATAAAGTGGATTCCAACCCACACTGCAAATTCCCGGCATGCTGCCATCCCGGTCCGTTGTCCTCAGCCCTAAGATTTGTGAGCTTCCTCTGATTTCAGGAGTCACTGTCCCTTTGATACGATATGCGTACGCAGGGCGAGAACCCTGGCACTGCCACTTTGGTGACAATTTTAAGACTGACAGAATAACCGTTCTTAACTCTATTCTGCTAATCTCCCAATAACAATGTGGTATATTTTCACATGGGGAGTAGGCAGGGGAGCAATAATCAACTGACTACCTAAATCTCCGCAGACAAATTTATGCAACTGCATTATATGCACAGCCATACAGGTACATATGTGTGTCGTTTATTAAGCACCTAAAATGTTCCAAGCACTGTTCTAGCACCAATAACCAGCTCACAGGAGAGGTCCCCGATTCTCACGCAGCTGACTTTCTAGGGGTCTGGAAGCGGGGACAAGCAACAGGGGGTGGGTCCTGGAAATAAAGAATACGTTAAAAAAAATAAATAAATAAAAGACAAGCAAAATCTGCAAAGATACCATCAGGTACTATGAAGAAAATGAACCAGGTATTAGGAGAGACAGTATGTGTCTAATTCTACGCTAAAGCTGTAAGAAACCTAAAGTACGTTTTGTCCAAGCTCCTTACTTTATGAGACCGGAAGCTGAGAAACTGAGGTCGCCAGGGAATGGTGGTCAAGCCAGGGCTGCCGTCAGTACCTGTAACGGCACCACCCGACCCAGCGCACAGCGCCAGTGACACAGGGTCACCGTGGCACGACGGGATGAACCGCTGGCTGCCCACTAAGTGGCATCAAGCAGCGGCGAAATGCAATGCTCCTGGCTCTTGTTCTGTGCTGGATGCCGCACCCGCGGCGCCTGGCTCAGCGGAACCTGAGTCTCCTGGTTCCTACTCGGGAGCGTTTCCCACCACACGCCTCGCTGAGGGATGGAGGAGGGGGAGAGGGTGAAAATGACACCGATTCTTTTTCATTCGCAGGTACAGTCAGGTGAGTCTTAACCTCCAGTGGAGAATCGCCAGGTATTCCCGAGGCGTGCCCTTTGCTGTGTCATCCCGGGGTGACAGAGCGCGCAACCACGCCAACTTCGGGGGATGCCTGGCAGCCCCATGCCATCCTGCTCAGAGAGGTTCGGTGTCCTGCCCAGGCTCACGTGGCAGCGAGTGCTGGGTGAGGCCTACGACCTCGGTGTCTGGTTCCAGCCGCACATTCTCTGGCCTCAGGCGGTGACTGGTGGGCGAGCCAGGCAAAGGCGATAAAGACGGGAAGAGCAGGAACCGAAGCAATGGGAGAAGATAATCGAGGCTGGACCCTGAAGACGGCTCTGCCGCATACACTCAGCGCTCAAACATGGCGGTGTAGGGGGAAGCCTGGACTCCCTTCTTGAATTTGAAAAATCACCATCGGGCTAACCACGTAATACATGGCAATTACAGCGATTAACACCCACCAAGTGCTTGCTGTGTGCTGAGCACCTCGTCCTCACGGCCACCTCTGAGGCAGGTAGTGTCATTATCTCCTTTTGCAGAGGAGAAAACAGCCTGGAGAAGCCAAGTCACTCTCCCCAGGGCCTGTAGCTGGTAGGTGGCAACGCCAGGATCCAAATGCAGAAGTCTGGCTCTAGCGGCCAAGTTCGTTACTGGTACACCACGTGGCCTGACGGCCAAGCTCACAAAATCTTGGACGCCGAGCTGACCATCTGGCCACACCTGACAGCGTGTGACACCTACGGCATGACCGTGTGGTCTCCGTTCCAGACACAGGCATCGCTGCAGACAAAGAGGCCCCTCAGCAGAAGTGGGGAGAGCTGCGGAGCCTCAACTGTCGGCCCCCTCTCCAGGGCTGGAAACCATTCCAAGGAAGCTTGGTTGGCTGCCACCCAGGCTGGTCCCTGCAGGCGAGGACCTCTTTGGCATCACAGCCAGTAAAACCCACACCTCCTGCGGACACGAAGTGGGTGCCACTCAGGGATCCGGACAGCCGCCCCCAGAGCGGCATTCCCAGAAATGACCCACTCGCCACTGGCAGGAACCGCAGGTGTCAGAAAGGTGTCAGCCTCCAAGGATGTGGTTCCGGGAAGAACTGGAAAGCGGTCTGACTCCCGAATGGCTAAGTCTCAGCAAGTGGGGTGACGGGGGGGAGAAAC